TTTTCTTAACCTAAGTACTTGTCGGCACGTTACAACAAAAACAAACAACTTTGTATTCTTCAAACTAACCATGGCAAATTAGATTCGTTGCAGACGCGTATTCAAGGGTACCCCACACACAATGCCACCTCACTTCGCATGCCTCATACAAAGGTCGCCTAATAAGATATTCCCTACATTAATATACTAATACACCGTATAAAAAAAATGTTATCTACATATAGATATATGTGATGATTTTTTTAAAATAGATTTGTGCTGAAAAAAATATTGTTTGAAGCTAAAGATACTAGGAAAAATCTCTTGAGAGATAAGAGATATCTAAAAAAATGTGATAAATATTTTTTTGACAATATAATGAAATTTCATATCAATTAAAAATATAATGATATTATAATATATACGTTTGTATACTTTTGATTTTACTAAATTGATTTTTGAGTATTGAGTTAGATATATTATATTTTTAATAATATTTTTCATTATTTATAAACTATAAATATTATGTGAAATTATTTTTATATATATGTTAGGTGGATTATTAACACGGGTGTTAAAGTGAGCTAACTTGACATATATGAGTTGACTCACTACATACTGAATTAAAAATAAGTGAGTTAACTTAATCAATTACGGGTTGATGGGTTAAGTCATTAATCCATACATTTTTTTTCTAATAATGGCATGGTGACATGATAAATATTGTTATGCGATAAATATTATGGTGCAATTGAAGTATGGTGGCATGGTGACAAGCAATCTAGGTACAGTAATAAACTTTAAGTAAGAGTTTGATTTGTAATAGTGAATTGCAGATCAAATTCATCATAATCCGACTTGAACCTACTTAACCCGTGGATTGAGTGAATTAGATTAATTTTTAATACATGAACACAGTGACACAGTGGTGCGATGAACAAATGATAAATGATATGTGTAGTAGGAAAACAGTGGTGTAGCAGATAATTGATAATAAACTTAATTCGGTTTGATTAAGTGATTCAAATTTATTTTTAATCCATTATGAATAAAAATGAAAAAAAATTAAGATTAACCTGACTCAAACATATAATGAACTAGATTGACTCATGAGTTATTACTCGTTTGGTCACCAATTTATTAGGTTTATATTGATTAAGTTAAAATAAATAAAAATATATTTTGTTTATGAACTATTAATCTATTATAACATTAATAGTCTAATAACTAATTAGAAAAATGAATGTGTTTGGAAAGCATGTTTTGTTGCTAATTTTGTGATCCTAAAGTCTCCGACCACTTTTGTATTTGGCTAAGCAATGCTTATCAAAAGGTAACCAAATGATTGGGACATTGTTTAATACAGGGTGTGGTTTGGAGTAAGAATGGAAAAGTGGAAGAAAGGAACAAAATGGAAGAGGCACAGGAAGATAATAATCAGGGGAAAAATAAAATTTATACTAAAACTTATTCTAAACCACAATTATTCTACTTAATGCTCTTATATATTACACAGATTCATTACAAGTACAAAAAACAAATGCCATTTGGGGCACCTGGTCCCTTTCATTACCTTCCTCTGCCCCACTGACAACCTGCTACAAGTTGTAGAGCATTTGCAAATAATCTAAGCAAATGTTTGCATAGGATTTTCCTAAGAGATTCCTTTTAATTATTCTTTTTCTTGTTCATTTCTTTTATCTACTGGGATTGTATAAGAATAATATTCGTATCAACAACTTTATGGTTCATCCTTGCCATATCAAATATTAGAATTTGTGTTTCCTCCTTTTCCAAGACGGTTGGAAAATGGGTTATTATTATTATTATACTTTTAACCATAGTTTTTAAAATCAACCACCAATTCAACTTGTTTAACTCGGCATCGAATTAAAAATCATTATGTTCCTTTAAATAACCAAATTCTAATTAAATCAGATAAAAAATTTGATTGAATTTTTATATCGAATTTGGATAAAAAAATTAGGATTAAATTTTGTAATATAATTTTTGTTATAAAAAATATAATATATTTTTTTTTATCTCATATTAATTATATCAATTTTAAATAATAATTATTTTATTTTAATAATTATTTATCTATCTTTTTAATATATTTTATAATTATAATCTTTATTATTAATAAATTTATTATATTATAAAAATATTATTTTATTAATCTCGAATACACTTGATTTTATTTTTAAAATCTGAACTTATGTGTTCTCTAATTATCTGATTTTAAAAATATTGATTTTAGGATTTGAATGAGTTGGACTTTTATATTAGATAAAAAATATAAAAGTTTAACCATATTTAAATAAAAAATTATATTTTAAATCGAAGATAATATTATTTGTGTGACCAATTGAGTTCATGTAAGTTCGAGATTAAGTCATGTTTTGTTATTTGACCTATCTAAAATAAAAGTTTAGACCTTTAAATGTTTTAATTTAAAGTTTAAGTCTGGACCTCATACGCGTTTTTATCTTCTTAAGTCTTAGGAGTCTCAAATTTTATTCATTCTAAGCCTTTTTTCTGGATTGGGTTGGACTTTTTATGTTTTTTTTTATTTTTTTATTTTGGGCCTAGCCTCTGAATAATTTGGGCCAATATCCAATTTTTAAGATTTCAGGTCTTTCTTTGACACACTGAAGTTCATATCTAATTAGAATTCTGACTTAAATAAATTTTTAGTTTTTATAGTAAATAGTTTTTTTTTTCTATTTTAATCCTTATATTTATTTTATTTTATTCTATTCCCACAATGCTACTTTTAAGTTCTTATACAATGGAATTTTTTTTATATAAATTTAATTTATATTATATTTTAAAAAATTTAGTTACTTTTAGATTGAAACGTTTTCATTTAATTAGTTCCACTTTATTAATTAGAAGCTATTCGTTTTAACTTCTATTATTTTTTACAGCATTTTAAATTTTAACACCAGACAAAACTAAAGAATAGTATGCATGATTATATGAGATCATAAATTTAAATAAAGCCATGATAAAGAATAAATAAAGTAGAGAGTAATTTATTTAGAAAATAAAAGAGTCCGAAACAGGAGTTTTTTTTCTTCTTTTAATTAAGGATATGAATCTTTTGAAGTACAAAGTGCATTTGGATCCAATGTTTTCTATTAATAACACACAATTTTTAAATTAAAAATTTATTTATAATCAAAACAATTTAGTATTTTATTCTCATTGTTTTGGTTCCCTAGCTTTTTTCTTCTTTCCCTTTCATAATTTCTTCTTCATCTTCGTAATTAAAATAAATCATATATTTTCATTAAAATATATTCATATTTTCTAGATTTATTTTTTAGATGAGGTGTTTCGAAATACAATTCAAAACATTAAATCTAAAATTTATTTTCGAATAAGCTATTTTGGACATATATTTTGAATTAAATTTTTTAAAACTTACTTTCAGGTTTGAAAATATATTTAAGATTCACCGGTTTGAATTCTTATATTCACTTTTAGTCTATTTTTTATCAAATAAGTAAAAAACATTAACAAATTTTTACCTTATGGGCCGAAAACAATATTCAATAGAGATAAAACCAGACAAAATAAAATTGTAGGAACTATGAAATTCTATAAGAGACATGGAGGTGTAGAGGAATGAAAGAGAAGAAACTCTTAAGTTCCAAACAAAAATTAGTAAATTAGTATTTTGGTCATTTTACATAAATTATGGAAGTGCAGGGAAAACTATGGAGACGTAGAAAAAGAGAGAACCTTTTGCATATATTCAAGGTATCATCATCGTTCTAGGTTCAAAACCTTCATAATCCATAATATTTCTAATAAAATTGAATAAAAAATAATAATATTAATAATTAAAGTTGAAGAATAAGTTATTTACATATTAGATTGAAATAAACAAATTAAATAATAAAAAAATGAAAAATAAAAGAGACATACAAATCTAATACCAAAAGGTTTTGAACGAAAGTAAACGCATGGTGTCTTGTACAAATGGTTTGTGATCCCATTTATGAATATCTTCGTGCTCGTCACAAATACCTAACATAGATTTTAATGAAGTTATTCTATATTCATTAAAAAAATTAATAAATTATTATTATTATTTATTTTCTATTTTCTATTTTCAAATATATATCTACCTTATTGATAATTTATTAATTTTATGTTAAAAATTATTTTTCTTTGTAATAATATAATTGAAAACTTTTATGAGTAGGTGAACGTTGTTTTTCCTTCTACTCAACTATTCATTCACTTGCTAAATTTGCATAAACATGATTAAGGAATATAGGACTTTCTCGTGTCTATATTTAACCTTTATTTGAATTATAAGTTTTTTTTTTTGCAATATTTATCATTTTAATAATGAATTTTATGTCCAGAAGATACATTCACAACATAGTTTAAAGCAACATCACATCTCTTGGTCACGATGAAGAGCCAACACAATATCAAAAACTGATGAAAGACCTTTCAAGTACGTGAATTAATTGATGTAAAGTTATTTTAATTTAACTATAAATCCTAAAAAAAATATGTGTTTTACATAAATTTGGACTCCATTTTCTTCTTTCTTGTGGAGTAAACAAGATTGAAAAAGTTACGAAAATAGGAAAAAAAGAAATTTTAAATTTTAGAAGAAATTTGCTTCTCTCAACTTTACGTAACCATTTATTTGAAAGCTGAGAAAAACATAACATTAGAAGAAACATTAACGAGTGGTTGCGTTTCTTTTTTTCCTTTTAATCATGTTTAAAGTTTTTATTTTCATTTTATACACTGTAAATTTATTTTGTTAATGATGATAAGATTATTGGTTAATTAAATTAATCTTCAAGCTTTCATTCATGCTATGTGTGCACGCTTATGTTTGGAAAGTGGGAAGAGTGATTAGTTATTGGCTAAAACTTTCTCAAATCCATATAAATAGTTGTATAATAATAATTAAGATATTATTATACTATTTATGACATTGATTTGGGGCATGAAAAAGCTAATTATTTAACTTGTGCATGAATTTCTTAAACGAGGCCATCTTCACCATTATTATTTTCCTTTGATGAACGAAGAGAATATTGGCTTGCCATCACTGCATCATCCAATGTTAGATAGAATGTCTCCTTCCCAATTTTGTCAACAAATTTTGATGCCAGAAGCTTCTCCATCACCTCCACTCTTGGGTTTACTAACAATGTCTACACAATTAAAAAAAACATTGGATTGAATTGTTAATTCTATATCATGTTTTCAAGAGAATCATAATAACACTTGAATTAATTCTTGTGTTAATTACCTTAGTTCCATTCTTTGTCAACACTTTAATCATCTCATCCAATCCTTTAATTGCAGTTGTGTCAATCGATGTCACTCCTGTAAATCAAGCATTTAATAACAACAAATATATTTTTTTCTAATCAATTTAATAATGACTCAAATAAAATTCTAAAAGTTAGAAAATTGATGAGTGTAATTTATATTTGTATTTAATTTAACACGATAAAGAAATAAGTGGTTAATTAATATAATAATTTATAATATCATTTAGAGAGATTAAAAAATTAATTATTACCTGATAAATCAATTATGATGTGCTCAACATTATCTCCAGTGGCGGTTTGCTCACTTCGAATATACCTCATAATCCTGATGCAAAGTAGATTTCAGAAATGAATTAATTAGAATAATGATGAATTGGGATGCGTAAATTATAGAATAATTAATATAAGTGAATCCATAATTTACCTTTCTTTGACATAAATAGAATTCGCAAAGTAAACGGGAGAACCAAGTTGAATAATAATAACCCCTCGGAATGTTGAAACATTATATTGCTCAGTGTCTCTGTATAAGCCTATTTCAGGCAACTTTCCAAGCTTGCATGGCAATGGTCTAGCCACGTACAAAAGTGCTCTAAGAAGCCCAAGTCCAACCTTCATTGCAAATACAGTTTAGTTACTGGCTGTTCTTCCTCTAAATAAGAATTTCAAAATAAGAATGGAAGAAAGAGAAGAGTACTGACAGAAATCATGAGGCCAACATCCATGCTTATGAAGATAACTCCAAGGAATGCAGCCATGCAAATGACAAAATCAAACTTGTCAACTTTGAAGAGATGCATGACTTCTTCATAATGAATGAGACCGAGCATGGCAGATATGATAATGACTGAGAGAGCAACAAGAGGGGTGTAGCCAAATAATGGTGCCAAAAATTGTAACGTCATTGCCATTATTACTGCCTGTATCACATTCGCCATCGCAGTCTTACACCCTGCATTGTAATTCACTGCTGTCTTCGAAAATGGTCCTGCAAAGTAGTTTTTTAGGACCAAAATCTAATACCATTATTACTGAGATTACTTACGTGTGAATAGAAACTTACCACTAGTCAAGTAGCAGGAAGTAAAAGATCCGAATAAGTTCATAAGACCAAAAGCTATCATTTCTTTGTTCCCATCATGAGGTGAATTATCAGCCACAGCAAAGCTTCTTCCTATTGCTATTCCTTCCTAATTAAAACAAAGAAATAAAACTGATAAAAAAATGATTGAAGTATATAGATGATGACGGTGATGGTGATTGGTAGAGATTTTAGTTTCTTACTGCTAATGATAACACCCCTGTGATAAGACCAGCTTGCAAAACTGCTGGTAAATATTTACCATTGAAGTTCAAATAGTGAATGGACAATGGATTTAATCCTTTATCTAGATGCCCCACCTACATATATGCATGATGAATTTCATGTAAGAACAAGTTAAACAAAATGTTGGTATATTTTTATAAGATACTTTAAGAAACAAAAAAAAATTTATTATATCTAACTCACAATTTGAATTCCATGATTTTGGCCCTTGACTAGGTAGGTGAAAACGCCAGCAACTACCACAGTCACCATTGGACCTATAGCCTGTACCCAAAAGAGTTTTGGGTTCTTGTTCCTCTGAAAGGTTATACCAAAAAGAGAAATCAATTAGAATAATTAACTTTGGCACACATGTTAACTTAATTACTTAATTAAAAAATGACAATAATATGGTGAAATATTAACTGCTACACTATTTTTTCCTAACTATCGCCTTTACTATTAGCTAGTATTGGTGCCATGATTATATTGATGCAGAAAAAATCGTTAAGGTCCAACAAGGTTGAGTGGCGCACTAAAGGTCTTGTCATGCCACTTCTTGTTCTTTATTGACTCAATAAATTATATGCAAAAGAGAAAGTTAAGATGAGAATGAGTTTGATAAAGGGTACTCACCAAGTATCTGGTAAATTGCAAGAAAGCTAGGAAGACCACACCAAGAACTGTAGGTTCCCACCTAATCTGTTAAATAAATAAAAAGCACAAACCCACTCATGTTATATATTTATTCGGAAATATTCTATAGACAAAAATAATAATTCTCTTTCTTAAAAAGTTATTTTGATGAAACTAATGACAGAAGCCAGCGAACATATATAAAGGAAACTAGTAATGACAGAAGCCATCGAACATATATAAAGGAAACTAGTAATGACAGAAGCCATCGAACATATATAAAGGAAACTAGAAGAGATAAAGAAAATTGTAAACTGGTGTTTCCTTTTTTAAGCTATATTATAAGTTATTTTGGGTGTTATACTTTTTCATTTTAATTAAACATGCATGGTTTTAAGTTGGAATTTGCAAAATTTTTAAAATTTTTTGGAGCCACATAACTTGATGGGTGTGTTGAAAGAGGGTAAAATTGAGTTGGGATATCATTATCATTATGGAGGGAAAGTGTCCTTATATGTAATAATTTGATTTCGTATGGCAACCTTTTTTACTACTAATTTCAATTTGTTCTATGCTAACCTCGTGTCTATTGTCGATGATGCTCTTCACCACTGCCACCAAGTTGGTTTTATGTGAAAAATGTACCATGCCAAACACCCCCTTAAGTTGTTGGAGGATCAGAATTACTGCTGTCCCTCCCATGAAGCCATTGATGGTAGAATGAGAGAAGAAGTCCACCAATATCCCCAGCCTGAAACAAGTTTCAGAAAATAAAAAAACTTAATCTTTATGACTCTGGAAAATCGATTTAGAAGATAAAGTTTCTACCTTAATAATTAATATATTATAATTTTATTATATCTTTTGTCCATGTAAGATTTTAATATACGCCTTATGATAGCAAAACATTCAAGAGATATCCTTTACGTGTCCCACATGAGAGGAGTGTTGAAGGAAAATGAGTTACCTGAAAATTCCCAAACAAGCCTGGAAAACTCCGGTGATAAAGGTGGTTGTGAAAATCAAATGAAGATACAAGGTTGGGTCTTCATCTGGGTCTGCCACGGTTTGTATGGTTTGACCAATCAGCAATGATGCTGCTGCTATCGTCCCCACTGCCATGTGCCTTGAACTCCCAAAAATAGCATACACTAACGGTGGGACAAAGCTTGAATCTGATCAAATTAGAAAAACATGTCAAATCAACACACAACCTTTTTCCTTTATTTTTTTCATGGCTTGATCCAATACCCAACCTTATCAAATCTAATTAATTACAAATCATTCTTTACATCGCACACATGGGGATTTCAAACTGTCAAAGGAAGTTACGTACGTACGTGACTAACTGTCTACAGACCCACATAATGAATTCAATCAAATCATACAGAAAAGTGATGATCAAAATTGATTGATAGTTTCCAATCCATAGATGGCCATCAAGTTTTCTCCCCCACGTATTCTCCTTCGTTATCAGACAAGATTCTGATGTGATACTGAACATCATTCAGCGTTTGACAGTGTTTAGGATAGATTTGTATAAGATGCAGGATGAAATTAGAGAGCAAATGTGAAAATTAATATTGCACATGTTAAGAGACACACAAGTTCCAAATTAATGATTGTATAAACGAGAGAATAAAAGGAGAAAAAGAAGTAATGAATTTGAAGAGTGATTCTTACAAAGGCCAATGAGGGGAGGAAGATCAGCAAGTTTGGCATAGCTAATGCCTTGAGGGATGGCAAGGCTTGAGATGGTGAGGCCAGCAATCAAGTCAGAGCAAAAGAGACGCCAACTGTATGTTGGTAGCCACTCAAAGATAGGGATGAAGTATTGCAGCCCTTTCATCACCCTCCTCATTGGCTTCTCCTCGTTCTTGAACTGCCTGAAGGGGTCATCAGGAAACAACGTTTCCTTCAACCCCGACTTGAGTTTCGTCCCGAACCCTCTCTGGGTCGTGAAATTCACTCCATGATAAAAACGATCGTTATCATCATCACGGTGGTGATTATGAACTTCCGTATTACTATTAGTACCCATAATAATAACAATACTAACCAAGAAGAATGTATGTGTATATGTGTAGAAGAAGAGGAAAGAAGAAGAAGAGGGTGTCTGAGAATATATAATAACTGGTTAAAGGGTGTATGTGTGAGAGACGCGTGGTGGCTATGAGAGTATATATAGGCCTTTTGTAGTGGGAACTATTTTGGGTAAATTGTAATTGGTTGCTAGAACAGTGGATTAAGTCTTGACGAGGTTGACAATGCATATGTTGGTGTGTGTTTGTTTGTTTGGTTTTTGTTTGCTTTGGATAACTGGGAGACTTTGGAGGATGCCAAATTTGAGAAGGTTTTGGATCAGATTTTGACGCTGCTGCTTTCTGCATAACCGAACGTTAAATGTTTTGCAGAACAGTTCGGCAATTTTCCTGTCTCTTCTGCATCCTTACCATGAATTAATACCAACCTCCAACTTCTCTATATATATATATATATATATATATATATATATATATATATATATATATATATATATATATATATATATCCCTTTTGTTAACACATTCTTATTTTACAACAAAATTTGATTCTATTGGTCAGTTACATTACCTATTTACGCGCATATGTAAAAAATTCTCAACTATTAAACTATTATTACATGTCTATGATTCTGTCAATTTGTACATAATATTTTTTTAATTCTTAGATTTCTTTTAATATTTTTTTTACACATATAGTTTTAAGGCTACAATAGATTAATTTTTTATAATATTTAATTAATTTTCACTTATATTTATTATGAAGTGGAGACAAATAAAATAGAAAATCTTACAAAATCAAGAAATCTATTGTATTTATATTTAAAATTTTCAACTTAGAGTAAAAAAATGATAATAATTCTTTATTATAGATAATTTATTTCAATTAGAGACTAGATATTTATAAACATTAATTATGATGAAATGTTTCTCTTGATAATAAAAATGTTGACTTAAAAAAAAAAACTTGTGAAATCTTGCATTATTTAATATAAGATTCTTCTTAACAATTTCTTTTAATGGCTACACAAAATTGATCAAGGAAAATACTTTAGGATTTTAAAACTATGTATATTATTAATCAGTAAGAAAAATTAACATGGATAAAGTATTGAAAGAAAAAAAAACTTAAAATTAAAATTTTTCAAAATTATTTTGGGAATTGTAAGTATGAAAATGTATCCACACATAACTTATATTCAGAAATTTATATTACACATATATTTTCTTGTTCATTTTCTATTCTCATTCAAAAAGGTAAAAACTTTATATTTTCGTAAAATGGACTTTTATTTTCTAAAATATATTTCTCCATTCAACTTATTATAAATTTTTGTTAATAGTTTTTATATTTGATGAATTATACATGTTTTCCCCCTCTTTTTCTATATTTTGAATTAACAAGATAGTAATAATAATAAAAAATAATTCTCATATGCAAATAATATTCTCTATTTAAAAAATTACTACTTTTAGAATGCTCAAAGAGTAAAAATACACATTCATATAACTGTGTTTTATGAGTAAGAAATTATTATTTATTGGGAGATGAATTTGCCCTTCTCTAATGCATCGTTTTGAGATCCATTTTGGGTGATATTAATGAATTAAAAATTTATCTATTTCTAGTCTTTTCGGTGTGGCGAATAACGAAGTAAATTTATTTTATTAAAATATTATACTCCATATATGTGTTATTTTTCAAGTGATTTTATTTATTATTTATAAGCTAGTTTATTACGTTGTGCTTCTTCGTGGATACGTACACATAGATTGATTTGTGGTATTCTTTGATCGATTGTGAAAGATAATAACCTAATAATAATTTTAGAGTCAACCTTTTAAATTTAATTCAATAAATTTAGTTTTATATTTAAATATAATTTAACCATGGTTGCCTTTTGAGCTATTATTAGCATTCTTTTTTGCAAATATGAGAGGCTATATTATACATGCGTGTGTTGAGAACATGTTCTGAAAGATTTTTCTTTTTTTCTATATTTAAATATAAAATTCACGTAAATAAGATTAATTTATTATGTTTTGTTACACTTTTTCAACTTATTTTCTTAAAAAAATTATGATGGAATTTATTTACTTAACTTTTTAATCAATTCATGTTTCTTTCATTTTTTTTTCAGTGAATAAATTACGCCGCAACACGTACAAGATTATAAGTATAAATATCAGTTGTTAGAATTAGATTGATTGGGTAGCTTCCATTGATAAAATATTATTATTTTTAGTTTCTTATTTATAAATTATTTCAATAGCTGCATAAGTATTTTCTACGGTAACAATCAATATGGAATATTTTTTTAAATAACATATATATTAAAAAAAAACAACAATTTTTTCTTTAATATTTTTATATATAGTAGTAGTCTGTACACTCCATTAATTCCTCACTTATCATCTGCATGATTATTCTTCACATGTTTTTATTGTGACTATAGTTAATACCACTCACTCCTTAAGCTAGTGCCACCACCAAATCCTTACATATCATCTTTACATAATTAATTATTAATTAAATATTTTTTGAAGGTAGACTAATAATATCATTAGGATCAATTCTCATGTTCGAAATATTATTTGTATTATTATCACGATTTTGTTTTTAAAAGATGTCTCAATAAATTAAAAGAGAAGAATATATATAAATTATTTTTAGTCTCGATTCTTAAACAATGTAATACTCATAAGCATATCAAAACATAATCCCAATCAAGGATTAAAGGGTACGAGTGGAGTGAAACTTTACTTTTGACCTTACTATAGATATCAATGTTTTGTAAAAAATGTTTAAATCTTATGTTCAATATGATAATATTAGTATGGTCAATTCTCATGTTTGAAATATTGTCTAATTTAAAATTCTTGTTATTCATAATTTTATTATTACAAAATATATTAGTGGGGTTAAAAAAAGAAATAATAACAGTTTATTTTTTTTAAGTATTTTGATGCATATAACTTTCTGATAATAATTTTTTACATTATTCGTAACCATATTTATAATATATTTTTGTTGGGTAAAAAAATATCTCCTACTACCACCTATTTTCTTCAACTGAAACCCAAGATCTTTATGTTTCATACCACTAGGACCATTAGAATTATAATTATATTAGGTGCCTGTAAAACATCATGATTGAATATTTGAAAATGGTTTATGAATTTTACGTAATCCTTTGAAGAACTTGTTTATCTCAAGTGGTTGATCAATTACTTTAGCCAATAGAACTAAAACTAGGACTTGTTTGTGTATATTTTCTTTTTGTGTTGTATTTTTGGAGGTAAAAAACCGCGTTTGTATATATTTTTGGACGAGTGTCATGTGTTTGTTTGGACCTACGTCATATGGATATGAAAACGTGATAATAAGCGCGTTTTGGATTCAAATTAGTCTCATCTAATATATGTTGTTGAGTTGCGTTTTGTCTTACTTAATCTTCCTTCCTCTTCTTGTATATTAACAAGCTTCGTATTGAGTTTTCCACATACATCTTTTCGATTTTAAATATTATGAAATTTCTGCGATTTTCGAATTTTTTTTTATCATAACACTGCTAATTATATAAGTATAGTTTGCACTATAATTATATATAAGATGTTTATATATTTTTAGTTGATACGATGTATCTCTAAAATGTTTTTTTACGTCAAAAAATAACATTTCAAAAATATAAAATTGAATATTAAGATAATTTGATAACAATTTAAAAACGAGTAAAATGATAGATAAATAAATTTTAATATCATATTAGAAATAAGAAATGTTAAATTTAATTTTATAGAACCAAATTATAATATGAGCTAGTGAATCTATAATAATATTATTTATAATTCTTATAAATTAAAGTAATAAAAATTAAAATTAAAGTATGGTTAATGGTATGTATTTTAAGATAATATCAATATAAATATAATATACCTCTTCTCTTTTTGAATATAAAAAATAATTTTTATTAATTGAAAAATTAGTTAATAATATTAATTATATTTAAAAGTTACTTTCTTTTTTTTGCTTAACTAGTCTTCCTACAAATTTGATGAGATGTAATTGAAAATAAAATCCCAATTAAAAGGATGCCATTAAAAAAAATAACCTCATTAAATAAGATAAAAATAAATTAAGATTTGCTTATACTTAATGATATCCAATTTTTTTTTATATTGAGATAGTAAGAAATATCATCTATATCCTGTGAAATTTTTTTATTACTGATGTACATTTATTAAAAAAAAAAATTCTTAAAGTAGTATAAAACATTAAGAAAAAATTCTTTAACTTGTCCTTCACCTTTGACTCGTCCTCTGTCTTACTCGTCCTCCATCTCCTTGAACTCATCTTTTGCTTTGTACTTGTCCTACCAATTGAAGAAATTTATGATGAAGAAAGATATGTTTTGCGAAAAAAAGAAAAAGAGCTAATTAAACGAGGAGAGTCGAAGGAGAGAGGACAAAGATGTAAACATGTCAAATAATTTTAACTAGATATTGTGTGATCCATTCAAAAGGAAGCTAAAGGAGAAGAAAAAGAGAAAAAAGAAAAGAAACAACGAGAGATTGAGTTGCAAAAAAAAAAATATAACGAGACATATGTCGACAATTATAATTAACAATTGACATATATAATATACGACTATAATTTTTTATAACCAGTATCACATGTAACATAAAACAACAATTATAAAAGAACCATTACTTAAAAGTTAAACCTACCATAATGATTCATTTTATAACCGTTGACATATATTATATATAATAATAATTTAAAAAATCATCATATTACATATTACATGTAACAATAATTATAATTTGAACGGTTATCATATATATATATATATATATATAATAATAATAATAATAATAATAATAATATATGACAATAATTATAAATAAACTATCACTAAAAGTTAAAAATATTTTCATATTTTTTAACGACGAATTATATATAATTGTTATTATTATTTCAATATTAGTAATATCTTTTCAATTTTAGTCTCACAAAAAATATATTTTTTAATTATATATATATTTATTATTATTTTTTATATTTGGATTCACTACATAAACGAGATTTTCATTTAAAATCACAACTAAAAAATAAAAAAACTTAAAATATGTAATTAAAAGTTACAATTTTAAAACTGAAAGATTAAAATCACAGGAAAAGTAATAACATGACCGAAATCTCACTAACTAAATAAGTTATTCACAAGTTTTTATACTCTTGTTCAATTACAATGTGATATTATAATAATAATGATAAGCTAAATTTAATTCAACAAAAAATATATATTTTTAACTATTAGAAAGTGTGTATAAGAAAACTAATCACT